ATAGCATCTCCATCTTGGTAATAGCTATTTGGGGACATAGGAAAAGAATATTATAATTAAGATGAAAAGAATAGATGGAAATGTTTTTATAGAATATCACATGCATTCACACAGACACATACACACACACACACACACACACACACACACACACACACACACACACACATACACACACACACACACCTGTAATTCTGGCATGGTCTTAGGCAGAGGCAGAAGGATTGCTAGTTCCACAACAGCCTGGCTACATAGTGAGCTGTTGTCTCCACAGTGAATACACACGAGAGAAAGTCTCTTAGAATACACTCTGATCTATATCTAGATAGAACAATCATACTAGGGTTTCAACTGGTTCGTAACTGACAGTGAACAGCCTTCAGTAACTATCCCAGCCACAGCAGGTCTCTGGTCTGGGCCTGATTGACGTCTTTCACTATACCCCAATGGGAGGCATATGCTTACCCATCCCTGTCCCTACAAGATTGTGACTACTCTGAGTGCAACTGTAGTATATTCATTTTCAGATCACTGGCATCTGATACTGTTTATAGTCAATAAATTAAGTGGATGAGTGGATAGATGGATGGATGGAATGTGTACACGTCATGACAGTGCATGGATTTCAGGACAGGCTAGAAGATCCCTTTTTTAAAACAATTTAAGATTGAGCCATATTTTTTGGGTCAGGTTTCCATGGTTGTGACAAAACACCTGGGCCACGGTGAGGCAGAACATCATGGCGGGGAGCACATGGTGGATAAAAAGCCAGGGACAGGGAGAGCAAGAGGAAGGAGACAGAACATATACCCTTCAAAGGCGTGGGGCCATTGACTTCTACCAACTAGGCCATACTTCCAATAGCCCATTCATCTGTGAACTCATCAATGAATGAATGAAATCATTGACCAACTGGGCACCCTTGGATATAATCACTTCGCCAAAGCTTTACCTCTGAACATTGCCACGTGGAGACCAAACCTTCAACACATGAGTCTTTGGGGAATACTTCATATCTAAATCAAAATTTTGCTCTGTCCAAGGCTCATCTAGAAGTATGAAAAATAAAAACTGGGGAAAATATTTGACAAAGGACTGATATCTAGAAAATATAAAGAACTCTCAAATTAGGGCTGTAGTTCTAGGTAGCTCACCTGCCAAGCATGAACAAGGCCCAGGGCTCCATCCCCAGCACCATGGAAGAGAGAAGGAAGGCTCAAAACTCAACAGTAATAAACTCTCTGATTAGAAAATGGCCAGCAGGATGGTGACGGCACACGCCTTTGATCCCAGCACTCAGGAGGCAGAGGCAGACAATCTCTGTGAGTTCGAGGTTAGCCTAGTCGCCCATCAACAGATGAATGGATAAAGAAAGTATGATATACATGCACATGGAATTTTATTCAGCCATAAAGAATGACATTAAATGCTTACAGGAAAAGAGCTGGAACTGGAGAACACTATGTTACATGAATGTAAACTCACCATGTTACGTCAGTCTCACAAAGACAAGCATCACGTTTTATGACATGCATGGAAACCAGGGGGCAAAAAGGGTGTGAAACTCAAAGGAATGTGAAGTGGAAAAGAGGAAGAATCAAGAAGGGATAAGAAGGTGAGCCAGATGTGGTGGTGCACTCCTTTAATCCTAGCAATCAGGAGGCAGAGCCAGGCGGATCTCTGTGAGTTCGAGGCCAGCCTGGGCTACAGAGTGAGTTCCAGGAAAAGCTCCAAAGCTACACAGAGAAACCCTGTCTCAAAAAAAAAAAAAAAAGAGTTCTAGGCCTCTCCATAGAGAGTTCCAGGCTAGCCAGGACTACATAGTGAGACCCTGCCAAAAATTTAAAAAGCAAAAAAAGGCGGAGACACTTGTAATCCAAGCACTTGGGAGCAGACACAGAAGGATTAGTAGTTTGAGGCCAGCCTCAGCTGTGCGAGACCCTGTTTCAAAATCAAAACAACTACAATGCACTACGACACTCAGCCTATCAGACTGACAAAAATGAAAAAGACTGACAACACTAAATGCTGGAGAGACTGTAGAGAAACTGGGTCATTTGCTGGAGGGAATGTAAAACGATACGGACACTTTAGAAAAATTTGGCAGTTCTGTTTAAGACTGGAAATAGACTTATCCTATGACCCAGCCTTTGTACTTTTTGGCATTTATCCCAGAGAAATAAAAACTTATTTTCACACAGATCCTCTTACACAAATGTTTGTAATAGCATTATCTGTAATAGCCAAAAACTCTGAGTACCCTTATAATGTCCTTCAATGGACAAATGGTTACACCCCACCCCACCTCCCACCACCTACCTGGCACATCCATATCATGGATGGGCAATAAAAAGCAAAGAACTGTGGAACTGGGAGTCGTGATTATTTCTGTAATGTCAACACTGAGGCAGGAGGATTGCCTCAAGTTCAAGGCCAGACTGGAATACAGAGTGAAAATGAGATCCAGGCTTTAAAAAAAAAAAAAAGTGGTCGCCTTTAATCCCAGCACTCAGGAGGCAGAGGCGGGCAGATCTCTGTGAGTTCAAGGCCAGTTTTCGGACAGTCCAGTTAACATGAGCCCCAGAGCCCACATGCTGGAAGGAGAGAACCAACTTCCACAAGTTATTCTCTGCCCTCAGCACTCATGCCCATGGAATGCACTCCCACACATACACACTAAAAAAAGTGAAAATTTAAAACGCTTTTTAGATTGATTTATTTATTTTATTTCATGTGCATGGTTATTTTGTCTAAGTCTGTATGGGTATGTGTAGGCGCCTGCCTGGTACCTGTGGAGGTCAGGAGAGGGCATTGGATTCCTGGGACTGGAGTTATAGATGGTTGTGAGTACCATGTGGGTTCTGGAACTGAACCTAAGTCCTCTGTAAGAACAAGTGCTCTTAACCACTGAGCCATCTCTCTGGTCCTCTGGTCCCCATTGCTATTAATACATACAACACTATGGATGGATCTCCAAGGAGTCAAGCCGAGTCGGGGAAACAAGGCCAACCAGTCTCCAAGGGATACCTGTCACACCATCCCACTTCTGTAAGGTTCCCTGATTAGCAGAGCTCTGAAGATGGACACCAGCTTCAGACGGGCTGGGTTAGGAAGCGGGTGGCCTAGGGAGCAGTGACAGAGGGATGGCCTGAGGGAGCCTTGTGACAGAACTCTAGCTCTTGATGTGCTACAAGCTACTCTTGACAAAATGACCCGGAGATAATCTTATCTCCCGCTTTTGCCTCTTCCCACACCCAGAGCTGTGTAAGCGGTTCCTCTGAATTGAGGAGGGGAGGTCCTTGAGGTTCAGGAGGTATACAAACTTCACCTGTCTGAGAAGGCTGGAAATTGAAGGTTCTCAAAAGCCCCTTCCTGGCTTTCTAGAAACAGCAAACAACTACTTGGGGGAGGAGACTGCCCAGGGGGGCTGCAGAGACCTCTCAGACCTGTGTGGATAGATGTCTGCAAGTTGTGTAGAGAGCACTAAGGATACAGCTGTCACGAGTCATCTCTGGTGGACGGACTTTTCAGTGATGCAGGCGCCTGCTCCTTTAACCCCCCACCCATACTCCCGTTGGCAACTCAAGTGAAAGTACACTGGTTCACCAAATTGTACGACCATTGCTTTGGCTTTGGTCTGTTCTGGGTTCTCTTTCTGGGTGAGTATTTCTCTCTCTCTCTCTCTCTCTCTCTCTCTCTCTCTCTCTCTGTGTGTGTGTGTGTGTGTGTGTGGTATGTGAGTGACTTCCTGGGAGGACGTAACACACACACACACACACACATACACACACACACACACACACACACACACACACACACACATACACACACACACACACACACACACACACACACACACTTTTTTAAAACTTAAGCTTGCAAACATAAGACCACTCAATATTTTCTGACTTGAAATTATATGTAAATTTTTTTTATGTTTATTCATTTATCAGGGGTGGGGGCATGCTCATGCCATCATGCCAATTGCCAATGCCATCAGGCCAGTGTGGAGGTTTGAGGACAACTTTTGGGAGTCAGCGCTCTTCTTCCAGTCCTTGGCGTCCCTGGGACGAACTTCGGTAGTCTGCCTTGTCAGCAAGCACCTCCGCCCACTTGAGCCCTCTCACTGGCCCTCTTTTTGTTTGCTTTTTCTTTCTTTTTTTTTTTTTTTTTTGGTTTTTTCGAGACAGGGTTTCTCTGTGTAGCTTTGCGCCTTTCCTGGATCTCTCTCTGTAGCCCAGGCTGGCCTTGAACTCACAGAGATCCACCTGCCTCTGCCTCCCGAGTGCTGGGATTAAAGGCGTGCGCCACCACCGCCTGGCCCTTATTTTTTTTTTAAATTTGTGTTTGTGTGTGTTCACATAGGGAGGGGTCTGTTAACCTGCTTTTAATGGCAGGAAAGGCTCCTTGCTTGGTAGTTAATTGACCATCATAAACTCCTTGTCTTATTTCTTGACCTCATCAGAAGAACAAGTAGAAAATATTCCTCCAAGGTCCTTCAGTTTGAGATACTAGAAACAGTTCCTCCCATGTGGAGCCCCTAGGCAGAGTTGATATTATACATGGTTTTACAGAAAGCCTTAGGGAGGGCAGGGGAAGGATTTTGTTGTCATTTTTTAAACAGGGTCTCCCTTAACCCGGGCTGGTCTTGAACTCCTGATCTCCCTGATTCTAACTTCTGGGTGGTGGCATAAGACATATGTGCCAATATACTCAGCCAAGAAATATATTTCTTTCTTTCTTTCTTTCTTTCTTTCTTTCTTTCTTTCTTTCTTTCTTTCTTTCTTTCTTTCCTTCTTTCTTTCTTTCTTTCGTTTTTTGAGACAGGGTTTCTCTGTGTAGTTTTGGTGCCTGTCTTGGAACTCACTCTGTAGACCAGGCTGGCCTCGAACTCACAGAGATCTGCCTGCCTCTGCCTCCCGAGTGCTGGGATTAAAGACGTGCGCCACCACCGCCCTGCTTTATTTCTTTCTTTATTCTGTTTGTTTGTTTTGAGACAGGCTCTCACATGGTGGTCCTGCTGGCCTGCAATTCCTGATCTTCTACCTCATCCTCCAGAGTGCTGGGGTGACAGGCCTGTGCCATCACACCTGACTAACAAAAACAATTTGTTACATTCTCTGAGGCCAGCTGGATACAGATCAGGACTACCTGATGTTAACATCAAGGGTATCTGTAAAGCCTGGAGGTAAGCATGCTGTAGTGTGCACGTTCATCCATTCCCCACCCCCAGCCCCTGCCAAGATGGCCCTCATGGCATTCTATATTTTTCACCTTTTTCCAGACAGGATAGGACATCCTATCTAGTTAGCTAGGGTGGAACTCAATACAGCACGAATAGAGCTCTTTTCAATCTCACTATTCATAGGAGCCCCATGGGCTACCTGACTCCAGGCTACTCAGGTTCAGGGCTTCAAAGTCATAGCTTCACTCATCAGATAAACTGAGGACTCTTGCTCAAGCAGTCCAGGTTATCAGTCTTTTAGGAAGCTTTCCCCCGGGACAAATTCTGTCTATCTTGTGGGCCTTTGTAAGTAATCACCTGCTGTTTTCTTCTGAGGAACAGGAATAAGTGAAACTCTCTGGAATGCCTTTGTTGTATGTGTGTGTGTGGCTGTGTGACCCTGACTCATTTCACCTGTGTGATCGTTCAGCCACCAGCCTTCCGGCCATGTCATAAGAAACACCACAGCGTACTGAAGACTCACCAAGAACGTGATGGCTCTGTTCCAGTCACCTTTGTAGCTCAAGAAATCTCAGGCAGCAAGCCCAGAAGGTCTCTTCGCACAATTCCATAAGTGAGTCTCTGGAAAAACACGTGACTGCTCTAGGCCTCCAGAAACAACTGGTTCTTGGAAAGGGATTACAGAGAAACATCTAAGAGATTTTCACTAATAGCAGTTCAACTGTAGACACACAAAACACTGGGAAATGTCAGCTGGAACATTCACTGGCTGGGAAGCACTTCTGAGGTTCAGTCAGTGCTGCCTTCTAGAATGCTACAAGGTGCTAATTGCTACCTTGGTTACCTTACAGGGTGACTGTTTTTCAAGGATCATGTTCCTTATCGCTCTTTTCTTTATCACTGCTTTCACTGTATTCTCTGGACTTGTAACCAAAGACCTTGTGGTGGTTTGAATGAGAAAGGCCCCCATGGGCTCATATGTTTGAATACTTGACCCCCAGTTGTAGAACTGTTTGGGAAGGATTAGGAGGTGTGGCCTTGTTGGAGGAGACATGTCACTGGAAATGGGCTTTGAGGTTTCAAAAGACTGGCACCATTCCCAGAATCTCTCTCTGCCCTCTGCTTGCAGATCCAGATGTGAGCTCTCAGCTGTTCCTGCCACCGTGCCTTTATTCTGCCGGCATGGACTCTCACCCTCGGACAGTGTAAGCCCAGTTAGCTCCCTGCCTTTTTGTTCTGATGCTCCTGCAGGCTGAGCAGCTTGAGACGGAGCAGCACATCCTCATGGAAGTAGGTGTTCGCTTGGAACTGGTGTTGGAGTGTTTGTAAGCGCATTTGGGATTTAACTGGATCCCGGTTATCTATTTCTCGGTAACAATCCCTCTGTATTAGTTCTGTTTCCACCACTGTGATAAAACATAATGACCCAGGTGACTCATAGAAGGGAGGGTTTGAACTTACGGTTCCAGAGGAAGAAGAGTCCCTCACCATGGCATAGCATGGCAGCAGGCAAGCATGGTGGCTGGGCAGCAAGCTGGGAGCTCCCATTTAAATCACAAGCTCCAAACAGAGAGCTGACTGGGAATGGCACATGGCTTTTAAAACCTCCAAGCCAGCTCCCAGTCATACATACGCTTCCTCCAGCAAGGCCACACCTCCTAAACCTCCCCGGCTGAGAACCGCCAACTGAGAACAAAGAATTCAAATGCCCAAGACTCTGGGGGCATCTCAGGCAGACCACCACACCCTCCCAAACTGTAGTAGTTTAGAGCAATTTACTTACTCTCTTCACAGTTTGGGGGATGCTATGAGGCCCAGCTGAGCTCCTAAACTTGTGTGCAGTCAGATGGCGGGTAAGGGCGGGTTCTATGAGACTCTGTGTCACTTAAGCTGGACTGGCTGGAACACAGCTGTAGGATTCCTTGTGCACTAGAAGCATGGCAGCAGTGCGTGTCTCCCCAACCCCACCCCACCTCCCCTCTCCCCTCTCAGTCTCCTTGGTTCTGATTTTTTGTTTTGTTTTTTTATAAGGCAAGGTCTCACTGGGCTGGTACCACATTCATATAGCAATCCTTCTGCCTCAGTTCAGAGTGATTACAGGTGTGAAGCACCATGCCCAGCTTGAGGAATTCTTCCCAGCCAGCATGTAGTTCTTCACAAACCGTTGCTCTTTGTTGAAATCCCAGTCTATCCTCCGTCATGTCTTATCTTCAACCATGGCCGATGTTAGTGGCGTAGCTGTCGTTAAAAAGGTCACAGATTGTGAAGTAAACAGAAAGAAGTGCTGATTGCCAGCACTGGACTTTGAGCGCTCCCTGTAATAGCCATGGAAATCTTCCCAAGCCAGCTGGGTGGCCACCAGGCCTCTGCTGAGAGTACTGGGAAGGCTGAAGCAGGACTGCAAACTCCAGGCCAGCCTGAGCTACACAACACGCTCTCCCTATTCCCCAAGAGAAGGGTCTTTGTCCTATTTTCTGTCCTAAAATTGTTTTATTTCTTTCTTTAGATTTATTTTATTTTATGTGTATGAGCATTTTGCCTGTATGTATATCTATGCACCACATGTGTGCTTGGTGCCCTCAGAGTTCAGGAGAGGGCACTGGATCACCTGGAACTGGAGTTTGGGAAATGGATAGCTATGAGCCACCATGTGGGTGCTGGGAATTGAACCCAGGTCCTCTGCCAGAACAAGTGCTCTTAAATGCTGAGCTATCTCTCCAGCCTCTATTTTTTAAATTATTATTGCAAAATAATATCTCTCTTTTATTAAAAAGTTAGTGAGAACAGGATGCCAAGATATAGCTCAGTTGGTCAGTGCTTCCGTAGTACACACAAAGCCCTAGGTTCTATCCCCAGCACAGCATAGACTAGATGCTGTGGTGCTTGCATCAAAAGTTCAAGGTCACCCTCGGCTACATAATCAAGTCTAAGACCAGCCTAGGTTACACAACACCCTGTCTCAAAGCTGAGAGACGGATAAGCCAGCAAGATGGCGGGCGCAGTAGATAAAGCACTGGCTACCTAAATCAGTCCCTGGGACCCACAAGGTAGAAGGAGAGAACTGACTACCCAAAATTGTCCTCGGACTTCTACACGTGAACCCACCACACCCAGATAAATGAATAAATAAATAAATGTAATTTTAAAAGATTTAAAGAGGAAGAGAGCTAGATTTGGTAGATGGGTATCTCTAATCCCTGCTGTTGGGAAACTGGGTGGGACAGGAGGATTCCTGGGAATTCAAGGCTAGGCGGGTCTATATAGTGAGACCTTGATTCAAAAAGAGAGAGAGAGTTAGCTATGCTATGAATTATAAAGAATTTTGAGAACTAACTTAGAAATACAACACTGTTCTGGGTTTCTCCAAGGGGAAAAAACCAAAGCAGTCCAGGCTTCACAAAATTAAAAGGACATTTACAGACTTATCTGGTGTATATCTGACTCTTGCCTGTTCATTGGCTTCTTTTTCTGTTTGTTTTTAATTTTTAATTTTATGTGCATGTGTATTTTGCCTGGGTATATGTCTGTGCACCACATGCATGCCTAGTGCCTGCAGAGGTCAGAAAAGGGTGTTGGATTCTCTAGAACTGGAGTTACAGACAACTGTTACCTATCATGTGGTTGCTGGAATGGAACCCTGGTCCTCTGGAAGAGCAGCCAGTGCTCTTAACCATTGGACCTTCTCTTCAACCCTTCATTGGTATCTCCCCCTCCCCCAGACACGGTTTGTCTGTGTAGCTCTGGCTGTTCTGGATCTCTCTCTCTGTAGACCAGGCTGGCCTCGAACTCACAGAGATCCACCTGCCTCTGCCTCCTGAGTGCTGGGATTAAAGGCGTGCGCCGCGGCAGCCGCCGTGGCCGCCGCCGCCACCACCACCACCACCACCACCACCTGGCTTTCATTGGTATGTTTTTATTGAATTCTATCCAACTTGAATTGTGTTATGTGATACTGAAATATTGATGTTGATGTGGGGCTTCCCATAATGTTCTGTGTGGGTTCAGGACTATGCTGCTCTCCCTAGGCCATGCTGTCTACATCAGTTGAAACCTGTAACCTGAGGGTCAGCCAGACAAGGTGGGGATTTCCCTGCAAGAAATTTTCTACTTAAAAACCAAAACCACTGATCCCAGCTGGCCGTGGTGATCCCAGCTGGCCGTGGTGACACCTTTAATCCCAGCACTGAAGGCAGAGGCAGGCAGATCTCTTATCTAAATTCAGGCCTAGCATGATCTACAGAGCAAGTTCCTGAACAGCCAGCAGAGCTACGCAGAGAAACCCCGTCTCAAAACAAACAAACAAATGAAAACAATTAAAAAAAAAATCCCACTGACCCACATCAAAGGCCAGTCTAGCGGCACTGCTGACTGAGTTGGTGACCTCTGAAGTCATCGTCTACATACATCTGCATTCACTCTGTCCTATCCTTTCAGAAGGTGGTACCCAAAGGCGGAGAAGACCCTGGGAAGAGTTGTCATAGCAACTGTGCTCCGGGTACGGAGGAAGGCGAATAGGACCAGCCTGTGATCCCCATTGGTCCACAGCCTTAGCATCATAGCAGCATGACTACCTCTGCCACACTCCTCAGTAAGGCCCAGAGGCACTGAGACTCCTCCCTACCCCCACCCTGATGAAAAGCCAAAATCCCTTCTGTGGCTCCTAACATAATGTTAGACACATGTGTGAGGTAACAATACTAGGAAAGCAAATTAATTAGGAAGTGATTCCAGCTGGGAAAACAACATCTGGCAACACGGGTTATTAGTAACTGTTTAGAAAGAACCACTCCAGTTCCCATCTTTCTCTTCTCTTCCTTCTTTCCTTTCTCTTTCTGGTGCTGGACCAGAATCTAGGACCTCACATATGCTAGGCAAGCACGAGCCATCAGCCTCCTTTGCTTTTTTTCTTATAATTATTATTATTAGAGAGAGGATGCGTGGACACCACCGCACATGTGTTGAGATCAGAGGACAATTTTAGGGAGTCAGGTTTTTTCTTCCAAATTCACATCATTAGGCTTGCAGACCAAATGCCTTTACCTGCCGAGCCATCTCACAGGCTCGCTTTTCTTTTGGGCTTGTTTGTTTGTTGTTTTTAAGACAGGGTTTCTCTGTGTAGCCGTGGCTGGCCTGGAACTCTGTAGCCCAGGCTGGCCTTGAACTCATAGAGATCTGCCTGCCTCTGCCTCCCGAGTGCTGGGATCAAAGGTGTGCACTACCACACTGGGCTCAGGCTCTCTTTTCTTTTTCTTTCTTTTCATGATTGAAGTTGATGTGGGAGCACACCTTTAATCCCAGCACTCCTAGGCAGAGACAGATGGATCTCTGTGAGTACCAGGCCAGCCTGGTCTATATGGCAAGTTGCAGGCCAGCCAGGGTTATGTAGTGAGATCCTGTTTAAAAATAAATAAATAAATAAGAATATCGTAACTGGGCGGTGGTGGTGCACGCCTTTAATCCCAGCGCTAGGGAGGCAGAGGCAGGCGGATCTCTGTGAGTTCAAGGTCAGTCTGGGCTACAGAGTGAGTTCCAGGAAAGGCGCAAAGCTACACAGAGAAACCCTGTCTTGAAAAACCAAAAGAATATCATAGCAAAAACAAAAAGGAAAATAAGCATTTAAATGATTGATTGCTATGAAGTCATTAAAATTGAAGAAAGCTGTTTAATGCCTTGGGGAAATGCCTGTGGTATCTTAAGTAAAAAGAAACAGATCACAAGGGAGCATTGCCTGCAGTTTTCAAGGGATCCTGTGCAAATATTTGCACAGAAAATATGCTGGAGGGATAGTGTCAACATGTTGACATGTACAGAGATCCTGAGTTAAGAAGCCCTCACCCCTAGTCTGGGTGGTTTCTACCCTGTGGACCTCATCACTTCCTTGCATATGCTCTTGTGACACTGAGGTCCCCAATCTTTTCCTCTGGCCGTTGGACCACTCTCAGAACAGACAACGATTGTTCCCAGTGGGCCAATGGACCCATGTGGGTACTTTAAATGTGTCCCAGTTTAGATTCTCAGAACATCACCAACTGAGAGATGTGGGCAGAGGAAGATCACAGTGTTCTGGAATGCTCTCTTCAAAGCCAAGCTACTAAGAGCCGAGCACACAGGCCACTTCCACAGCTTCCCAATGGCTCTGATCACTTGCTGCTCTACAGGGGACTGGGCAGATATGTTCAGATAGCTGCCATTTGATTGTGGCTAGCATGACCCTTGAGACTGAAAATTAATAGGCAGTCATCATTTAGAAACTTGGCTCATTATAGGAATGAAGCAATGTGGTAAGGGCAGAGACTAATGACTGGGGATGGCAGAGCCTCACTCACCGGGTCAGTGTCAGAGACCAGAGTGCATGGGCTGGTAGTGGAAATGAAGGATTTACAGCTCCCAACCATAGTGCCACTGGGCTCAAGAGGCTGAACTTCAGGGAGGGTCCTGGACATCTTTCATGTGCAGAGACTGAGCTTGGGAGAGGGAGTTGGTGCCCATCTGTGAAGATCTGTGGCTCTTGGTCATACACTGAGAGCTACAGGGTCTACGGGCAGACCACCAGCATTACTAAAATGAAAAGTGGTAAGATCTGGGCTGGGGATTTAGCTCAGTGGTAGAGTGCTTGCTTGACATATCGAAGACCCTGGGTTCTAGATCCAGCACAGGGGGGAAAATGATGCATGGTGGTGCACACCTTTAATCCCAGCACTTGGGAGGCAGAGGCAGGTGAATCTCTGTGAGTTCGAGGCCATGGTCTACAGAGTGAGTTCCAGGTCAGCCAGGACTGTTACACAGAGAAAACCTGTCTCAAAAACCCCCACCCCCCCCAAAAAAAAAGGAAAGGAAAAAGAAATGATGCTGTCTGAGTTGATGTGGAGGGCAGTAACTAGAGGTGGGGAGTCCTGAGAGGCCGGGGGGGGGGGGGGGCTGCTAGAGAGAGGGGCCGAGAACAAAGGTAGTGGTTGAGTAGTAGGCAACAGTTGAGTGGGGGGACAGAGAATCTGGAGAGTTCGAGAGAGTGGGAAAGCTAAAGGAGCCTGAGTCTTTCAGAAGGTGGCCAGCCTGAGAGACTGGATGACTCCATTCACCAAGAGCACAAACGCATGAGGCAGAGCTCTGTGGGAGGACATAACAAGCTATCATGGCCCTGTTAACCTGAGGAGCATGAAGACAAGCCAGTGGAAAAGTCCAGCAGGCATTAGGAAACAGGGATGCGAAGCAACTAACTAGCCATTTAGTTGCCAGAAGATGTGGCTGCTGAAGGGAGCCCACGGTTCATTCAGAGCTGCATAATACTTCAGCAGAGGTATCTATTCATCCTCCATTAGTGTCACTGGCTTGGGCGTATTTGGAGGCTGGTGCTAACAACTAAGCTCCATGGGCCCAGAAGGGAGTGGCAGTGAGGATGGCAAGGGAACTGGAAACCATGCCATAAATCGTCAAACAAAACCCTGTGTGTTAGCGTTCCCCAGAGGAGGGATTGAACTCAGGGCGGAATGAACTGTGGGTTACGAGATACAAAAACGGAAGCCAGGGGCATGGGGAGATGGCTCAGTCTGTAAAGTTTCTGCAGTGCGAGAATGAAGGCCTGAGTTCAGATCCTCAGTACTCAGGTAAAGCCTCTGAGTGCTGCAGAAGGAGGGTGGAGAAGCTGAGACAGGGGGATCCCTGCAACTCATTTGCTATCCAGCCTAGCTCAATCGATGATCTCCTCCTGTCCCAGAAAATAAGGTGAACAGCAAATGGGGAATATGCCTACATTGACATCTGGCCTCCACGTGAACACACGTGAACACATACATAGCGTGCGCAAAACATGTAGGCAAAACACCAATGCACAGAAAATAAAAATAACTAAACTTTTAAAAAAAGACACACACACAGTATCTATAGAGACAGTAAGCCACAGTGAACATGACATTTCAAAGTCAGGTGCCAAGTAACTGTTTGCTACATACAGACTTGCAAAAGCAGTGTATAAGGTCCCACCAGATGTGTAAGACGTGGAAGGTGTGGAAGGTCTCACCAGATGTGTAAGGTATGTAAGGTGTGGAAGGTCTCACCAGGAATAAGTCCGAGTGTGAGAAGGGGAACAGAAGCAAAGAGACTTGGGGTGAAGAGGTTGCACCCCATGTAGGAAGGTAATAATAAGGGATCTGGGGTCAAGGCCATCTCCTCCCCCGTAGTCCCACCCCAGTTCTGAAGGCAGGACCCGAGGAAAGGACATCCTGGAAGCTACTTTATTTTGTGGACAGGTCCCAAGAAATCGGAGTGGGGGCCGGGGAAGGAGGAAAAGTGATCCTGGTGCATCATTATTGTAGGTAACTGGGGCTTGGTGTCACCTAGGACATTCCGAGTCAGCATATAAATGTGTCTTGGAATTGTTTGCCTGGGTTAGGAGCGAAGCTGATAGTAGAGCAAAGGCTGAGCACACGGGAGAGCCAGCAAAGAAAACATAATTACCCTCTGTAGGTAAAAAGATGCTGTTTACCCAAGGCTCTGACAGCAGAGCCTTCCAAGATTGCCCTCAAGGTGTGTGCACAAGAGTCATGCTCTAGTGGGGTCCCCCAGGCCTCCACCCACAAAGAGCCCAGGGTGAGAGAGATGTTCACTTGGCTGAGGGAAGTGCTATAGTCCCCAGTTCCTTCAGCCCCACACTAGAGAAAGTAAAAACAGCTGTGCACTGAGGTCTGCGCCAACATGGAGCTTTTTTTTTTTTTTTTTCAAGACAGGGTTTCTCTGTGTAACACCCTAGGCTGTCCTGGAATTCACTTTGTAAACCAGGCTGGCCTTAAACTCACAGATATCTGCCTGCCTCTGCCTCTCGAGTGCTGGGGGTTAAAGGCCTGTGCCACTGCCATGGGGCCCAAGATGGAGCTTCTAAAGGGAAAGACAGATGGCTAATTACCATGATGGCCAAGAGAGAGAGAGCTGCTATACTGAGACCATGCTAACTCAGAACCCATAAGAGAAAAGATGTCTGAACGCTTCCTCAGCCTCCACAGGAGACAGCCCCCTTAGGGCCTTCTTAGCGGCTGCCCAAGAGGACGCACAGTGGTGGATGAGGCAGGACCAAAACATAAAGGTTGAAGGGCACTCCCTGCCCATCCTCAGAGATGAAAGAGGCCATGCCCCTGCCTCTGTAGCTGAGATTCTGGGAAAAACCCCAGGGATGGGAATCTCTGAAGAGCCCATGGAAACTCCCAGATTCCGCTTCTGACGCCTGCTGGACCCAGAGAGAACCACAGTAAAAGAGGCCTGGCCCACCCTCCGCCCACCTCTCCCTCAAGAACTTGGGGAGCAGGAAGTACAAGTTGGAGAAATAGATAGGAAGCTAGCCACACCCACTTCCTGCTGGATGATACCAAGCCAAGTGGGCCTGAGCCAGGGAGGGGAAAGTTAGGAAGAATCTCTCAGAAGGCTGTTCTAATTATGGAAGAAGCTGGGTTTGGGACTTTCGGGGCCCTATTAGAGTGTTTCATGGGGCTAGGGATATAGCCAGCAGCACTTGGCTTCCAGCCCCAGAACCACAAAATAAAGTACACCTTACCTAAGACCAAACTGAAAAGGCACAGTATCTGTTGGGATATTTATTGAGGAAGAGGGCTTATTTATCCAATGTAGAAGCCAAGGTTCCTCAGAGAAATAGAGGCAGTAGATTGTGTATGCATGTGTGAATTGGCTCACGCACACAGCTGTGCGGGCTGACAAGTCCCAGGATTTGCACTGTGCATTGGGGGAGAGTCAGTGACAGTTCTAACCCAAGTCCAAAGGTCTGAGCTACAAGAAAGTCAGTGGCCTGCTTCCAGTCCCAGGTCCAAAGGTCTGAGACCTAGAAGAGCAAATAGCATAGTGCCAGTCCAAATGACAGCAGCTAGAGACCTAGGGAGAGCTGATACTTCAATGTGAGTCGGATTTCAGGAGCAAAGTAAACCAAATATACTCCCAAGTCAAAGCCGGGGAGGAGTTGCCTTTTATGATATGGGGCATGTCAGTCTTTTTGCTGTATTCAAGCTTTCAACTGATTGGATGAGGCCTACCCACACTGAGAAGGCCAATTTGCTTAATTTAGTCTATAAATTTAAATGTTACTATTATCCAAAAATGCCTTCAGAGAAACACTTAGGATAATGTTGGACCAAATATCTGAGTACTCTATGGTTTGATCAAATTTACACAAAATTATTACATCCAGCTTAAGTCCACTGAATGGATTTTATTTTATTTTTTATAATGTGTGTGTGTGTGTGTGTGTGTGTGAGAGAGAGAGAGAGAGACAGAGACAGAGACAGAGACAGAGACAGAGACAGACAGACAGACAGACAGGGACAGGGACAGGGACAGAGAATCAGGAGATTAACCCCTGAACCAAGGAGATCAGGACAATTTACAGAAGTAAATTGGTTCTCTCCTTCCACCGTGTGAGTTCTGGGAATCAAAGGGAAGTAGCTGAGCTTGAGAACAAGCGCCTTTACCTGCTGAGCCATCTTGCCAGCCCGACTGAACGGACTTCAATGGGACAATGAAGTTGTGTCTTCCTTCTGTACAAGCCAAGCATAGCAGCCAGTTACCTTAAAACCCAGCACTTTTACCCTTGCCCAGCCTACCCCTAACTTTCACCCTGTGAGCACTCCTCAGTCTTCTTTCTTTAGTGGTGTGTTTTTATAGGCGTGGCTGGTCTAGAAGTCACAATTCTCCTGCCTCAGCCTCCTAGTGCTAGGATTACAAGTGTGCACCACCACACCCAGTTTCCTCTTCTCTTTCGACACCTGGTTAGTGCCTTCCTAGCTCTCTGTCTGGGGCTCTGCCCTCTAACTACAGGCAGCCCTAGAGCAATGCCTCCATAGTCCTAACTGTATGACTCTGGATGGCCTTTGTGTCAGCTCCAGCAACACTCTCTCTCTCCCGCTGGCTGAGAGTGGCGACATCCCCTCCTTAAACAGCCTAGTGATTACTTTAACATTCAAGCAGCAAGCAGAGAGGTCCCAGGCTGCATTCTAGTGGCTTAGCTGGCATGTGACCCACGGGAACTAGGTCATGTTTTTCGTTTTTCTACACAGCTTAAACCAAGATTCCAAAAGGCTTTCTTTGTACCCAGTAGCTCCAGCGGTTGCAAATCCTCCCCAGGAGTTCCTTCGAGCCAGAATCTTTTTGGCTTCATCCGTTCCAGGTTGGAAAAAGGAAATATTTATGAGACTTGGTCTCCGCCTTGGGGAGAAATAAACCCATAATCACTACTCTGTGTTCTGAGACTTGATGGTCGAGAGGAACAAAGGGCATGCGTATGCGCATGTGCACAGCCTCCCCTGCCCCCAACATCCCCCCCAAGGGGGGGCACAAGTGCCTCCCCCACAGCACAGCCCTGGGCTGAGTTCTTCCTGAATGACTGAGGGCTCTCAGCAGGCTATGGAGCCGGGAGAAGCCAGGCAGGGATGTGGTTTCTGAGACTAGACTCAGCCTGGTCCCATCGGGAGCTCAGGACTGGACCTTGCGCCTCTGCATCTACTCCGCTCCATCTTAAGAGTTTCAGCGTGTTGCACGCAACTTCCTGATGTACTTAAGATTTTTGGCTTTGTGCTCATAAGGAAGTTCAGCCAGTTTCTTTCTGATCTTGTTATTGTACTTGTCACGTTTGCATATGTGGGTTCTAATAGCGCCATCAAAAGGAATTGGGCCGGAGAGGCGCCCCGGGATAGCTTTCTGCTGCGTCGCGCCGCAGCGGAAGTTGCTGCGAGAGAAGTAGTGGGTGGCAAAGTCGAGGAGACCTTGGCTGAAGACAAAGCCAGACAGGATGATGGGAGGGCTAAAACAAGATCTCACTATATAGCCCAGGCTAACCTCAGACTCGTGTTCCTCCTGCCTGCCTTTGTCTCTCGA